CTCTCTCTCTCTCTCTCTCTCGCTTCCTCTCGTATTTTTTTATTTTTTCGGTATGTCACAAACTTATCCTTTACGAGAAAGTTAAATATTTTTGTGTAAGTATATACATCAGTAAATAATGATTAAGGATATTGTCAGACATTCCATTTGTATAGTCAACTTTTATCAATCATTCAAATTAAAAAAAAAATAATCATCTTTCAAAATAATGACAAAAAAAGAATTTTTATTCTAAATGTATTTTCGTTAACATTTTAACTACTTTTTTCAAATTTTAATATTTTAACATTTTGTTCACTTAATCAAAATTTGGATCACCGAGACAGATTGTCTACCGGGTGTCCGGTAAGTCTGATAATCGACCGGCTGTACGACCAGACCCAGGCGACTTGAACCCAGTTATTTTCGGCGACGCGCTATTTTGGGATAGTTCATGTTGTATGGCGCGGGGTGCCACACGAAGAAATCAGTTTACAGAGAAACTTGGTCGAGGTGGGTTGTTCTCCATATGTTGCGTACTGGCAATTAGGGCTCAGACTCCATCTCGATTATCGCCGAACTAGATCTTTTCGCATAAGCGTAGTGCACAATGAAATGTCATTCTGAAATTAATTGCTCGTTGCAACGTGTACATGTACGCGTGTAATAATGATGTAAGTCGGGAGTGTCGGTTCAATCGATGCAAAGTCGAAACAATTAACGATATCGTGCACGTGCTATTACCTCAAGGAATCAAGATGCAAGGTTTTCGGGAAGAACCGCGCTTATTTTTAGATTATTCGCAATGTTAGCAATAAGGTTCTCATAAGAAATAATCTACAAGAAGAAATAAACATGTAAATTTAAACGGTAATGCGTCTTTCTAACACGTGGCGACGGCATCTCGTTTGTCTAGTGTAATACTATATGCATTAGACACGTGTCCAAGTATAGCTTTCGTGAAACAAGCATTAAACGCAGAAATCCCGTCTCAATGGACATAACGGGGATTATAGGGCGCGAGCGAGATATGAGATAAATAGTGATTCCATTGCAGGATTCGTGTAGAATTGATTCTCTTTTCACACGATCTTACGATCGATCACACCGTCACCTACATCATCGGTCATTACGTCGTCGACGTCATTTCGTCTACATCAAAAAACGAAATTGTCGAATCAATGCCTCCGATCAATATCGACACCGCGAGTGTCAAATCATTCAATTTTTACTCGTGGCATATTCTTGACTAAATATAATAGTTTTTTGAAGATAAACATTTATCAACAATGCTTTGCCATTCTAATATTAGGGTAATAGTAAAATTAGAAATAAATTCCAATATTGATTTCTTATATAAATAGATTGATATATATTAAATGTTCTATTATTAGCATTGTCTATGATAAATTTTCTCTATAATTTCAAATATAGAGTTTTTGCCTCAAACATTAAAATAAAACAAATTTTATCGAATTTATAGAAATTACAAAGACGAATGTTTCGTATTAATAATTGTATATTAAAACATACAAGTATTTGAAGAATGTGTAAATCGATGTATTTCGTTGATTTATTCCCAGTTTGCGAAAAATCTGGGAAAATTAAAGGAATTTAATTAAAGTTGGATTACATCTCACGTCGACGACTTCGGGGAAATCGTCGATCATTTTTCGTGGGATCGTAAACAGTTTCACAATAGATTTTGTTAAGCGGCCAAGTGGCTCATCTCTCCCGCAGTAGCGACGACGACACGACATCGTGTTTCCGCGATTCCCCGTGGATCACGACGGAGTCGATACCAGACTCTGAGAATCAACTTGCGGAGGCAGAAGCGAGATTCGGAGATAGGACGTTTCCCATTAAATTTGCCCGGTGTAATTTTTCATTAGCCTCTGTCAGTACTCGCACATAAGAGTTTGCGATCTTCTTGTATTTCGCTCCGTTCTTCCATATTAATCCGTTATATATGAGTTACCTGTTAACCTGGTTTGGTAATCATGTCATCGCAATAATCGATCGCAATAATTAAGCGTACGTTTTTACGCCACCAATTTTGTCAAAGATCTAAATAATTTAAATAATGTCAGCTCTTTAATTGATATATACATGTATATTTTTGTGAAAAGCTTATAAATTTCATTCTGTATCGCAATAGATAAGAGGTTAACAAATTGAAGATTGAAAAGACAAATTGTAAACATGGTCGTAATTATTATAATCCGTATTGTGTCTCTGTCTCCTTATCTTTGTGTAAACTAAGCCAACTAAACTAATTTAAGAAAAGAGCTGACGTATTACACACGTCTGCGGTGACTCGCGCGCATTCACTTTAAACTCTAAATTAATGAACGAGAGTTCTTTGGCCTTCGACTGGAAGATGATATTACGGAACAAAGCCAATTCTTTGGCTGCGGTTTTCGAGCAACAATGTGAATTCCTGTGGTGACTTGGCGGTTTCTTGCAAAAAACATTTCATAACCGTCAATGAATCATTAAGGGACAATGATCAAAGATTTGAGGTGACCATTCCGCATGGTTACCCGTTCGTTATAGCGATATCGCGAACGACGCGACGGAGAGCAACGCGGCGAGAGCTAGGCATTCCGGAGGCGTGATGTTCGCGAATCGGCTTAAAGTGCGGCTTAATTCGCGTATGAAGGTGACATCGTCACGAGAAACCCTCATCGTCGATGGAAACAGATAGAACGTCCCGTTCGTCGGCCAGGAGCTGGCAGCGTGGAAGTTATCGCGGCCGGAGCGGAAGACGGCGGAAACGCAAGCGGAAACTGTGGGGTGAGCGGATCGCCGACTGGACCAGGGCACTGATAGCCTTCCTCTTCAGTAACGTCGGCATCGTGTGTCTGGTAGTGGGCTACACTATAGCGGGTGCCTTCCTATTCACCCACATCGAGGGTAGAAGTTTGGATGCCGGCAGCGTTATCAAGTTAAGAAATTTTACGGCCGCTACTCTTTGGGAGCTTACTTCCAAGGTTAGAAATTTAAGAAAAATTAATTTAACGCGAATCGAGCTATGTTGCTACACGGTTTCCCGCAGCAGCAGAATCGAATAATATCGTCGAAGACATAGGTACATGAAGGGCATTAGCCCAGACATTACACATCGCACAGATATTATCGTTTACAAGTTTTGTTATTTTTACTTTTACACGTTTGGATTTGATCGCTTTTAACTTGTAAGTATTGAGAAAAAGTAAATAAATGTCATTAACATATTAATATTAATTTTTTTTTTCTAATGCTGTTGACATTGCTTATAGGAAAATGTATTCTCGGAAAAACTCTGGAAGGCAAAGGTGAGAGACATTCTCGAGAATTACCAGAAAAAAGTGGTGTTAGCCATAAAAAATGGATACGATGGCGTGGAGGAAAATAAGTGGACTTTTGCCGGTGCTTTTCTATATTCCCTTACCGTGATAACGACTATCGGTGAGTCTCGTTTATATATGTATATATATATATATATA